GGTGTATAATTTTATTTTCATGAATCCATTTAATGCCTGTAACAATATTTTTAAGAAAATCAAGTTTCATTTCCCAAGTAATATCCTTAAAATTCTTTGATAAATAATTATTTAGACTTCCATTAGACATGTAAGACATAACAAAAATATAATCTTTTGTTTTCGGATTTTGTGATACTCCATAACATTGAATAAGGTGGCGTTTATAGTTGTTAGGCTGGCTTTTAACAATATTTTGTAACTGAGCAAAAAATGACAAATTTTTAGAGTAATGTTGTATCAATAATTAAAATAAAAATTATCTAATATTACCTCTTTTAAGAATGCTGAATTAATGTTTTGGGAGTCTTTAAGAATTTTTAACGCAATCGTTTGCCTTTTACTTCTATTATATTCTTTTGTTGTGTTGTTCCAACTTGTTATTCTTCCTTTTGTCCATGTAGCGGTATATATTTCACTAAAACCACCAGTTCCAATTGGAGTTATATCTGTAAAATCGTTAAATGGTATCCATTCTAATCTAAATTGAGGTTGATTATTGTATGTTACTTTGATCAGATTGTCAATATCTTTATTTCCGCTATTAACGTTAATATTTTGAAATCGCGTATAACAACTGGCACACAACGTATTATTCTCATATATAAGTTCATTCCTATTATTACAGCCAATGCATTTAGCTTTTTTGGAATGGCAACGAATACATAGATTATCTGATCTAAGAATTCGCTTTTTATTGCAGTTTATGCATTTTTCTCTATTGTGATTCATGTTTATACTTTGTTAATCTGTCTATCTTTTATATTCAAAGAGCGAAAGAACTGTCACAATATGCACAGTAGAATTTAATAATTGCATATATTCGCGAAAGAATCCTTTTATAATTAGAAATGTTAATAGCGGGAGAAGTGTAATGATAATGGACCATGAAATATGATAAAAATCAAGCTAATTATAAGTTGGTATTTGATTCGTTAAAAGTCGTTATGAACAAAGAGCAAATTTACTTTTATTTGAACGGGAGATGAAGAATTTATACATTTTATTTCTTAAGGCATACCTTCGAGTCAATTTCCATATCGAATGTTTTTTTTTCTGTAGAAACGTCTAATTGTCACACATAATTTGTAATTATTAGTGATACATGAAATTTGTGACCTTTGTGATCATGTCATTTAAAATCTAATGTAAAAACATTGGAAATCAGACAGATTTCAAATATATAGGTGGCTAAAAATTTTTATTTAAATCATGTACGACTATTATAATTAACTTCCATTTTCATCAGCCTTATTTGAGTTTTACCAAAGACAACCCAAATATCTCCATATGTCGTACCTCTTGTGTAGGGATGGGTTCGGTTACAAATGGTCACGATTATTCATTGTCAATTTTCTAAATACTGAGATGATTCTTTATTTTTGAGCTTTTAATTAAAGTTGTTCAAAATTAAATTCTTTTCATCCATCTTATAAGAAGTGGACTCGGAATTTAAAATTTTGTTAACGTCATAACCGGTTATGACGTTAACGAATTTTGAAATTCTGAGTTCCAGAGAAGGTATCGTTCTTTCCACTTAGAAGATGGGATGAACAGAATTTAATTCTGAATCACTTTCATTAAAAGCTCAAAAATAAAAATCTTAATATTTAGCAAATTAGTTATGAATAATCGTGACCGTTTATACCGTATAGCGCTGCATATAGTACCCCAGGCACTATTTAAGAAAGTCGGCCTAGATTGAATAATTCCCCCAAATGTTGAGAGATGAGAGGATAATATAAATAATCGTTACTGGTCAATGTATACCCTGCTATTAAACATATTAAACCAAATGAAATGATCGTGCCTTTAATTATGAAATTGGGACACAAATCGCTTGTCAAAAAATGGGGGATACTATTCCAGGGTACTATTACTATATGCAGCGCTATACGGTAACCGAACTCTTGTGCAACATAATACGAATTTAAATATTATTTGTGATCAAAAAGAATGTTCCAATCGATTATTCTGGCCATTTCAGATTAGTGTTAACTACGGTATTTACTTAAAATGAAAATATTATTATTGTCGCACTAAAGATCTGCATTCAAAATTTTATTTTGTGTGAAAATAAATTTAGTGAATGATATTACAAGTAATAATTTCGTCACAAAAGTTGTACTAATTTACAAAGCATTAAAGGCTGAAAGAGTCGCTGTTATTTTATTTAAAATCAACCATTATAGTAAATAATAAGCCACGATCTATGAAATCTTATGAAGGCAGAACAATATTGAAATTCGAAATTTATAGGGTTTAGCATTTAATTTTGCGTATAATATCATAAATAAATTGCCTATAAAATTCTATAATAAATTTATGTAAAAATAAATAAATAAATCAAAATTTAAATTTAATTAATTAGAAAGATATTACAGAACTTATAAAGAAAGCATGTAATAATCATAATCTGAATACATTGTTTTAATATTTTTTGAAAAAAATATAAGTTACATTTACTTTTATAAAAAAAGGCTTTAAAAATATTTTTTAGTAAGTTTCTTCTAATAATTATGAAGATGTATGAATATTTGGAAGTGTCAATAGAAACCAAGCAAATTGTTTTTTTTTTAAATTATAAATTAAAATATCAACAACTATTTAAGCAAACTTGATAAAGTTTTTTATTTTAATTCTGTAACTAAATAGAATTAAATATCTCAACAACTATTTAAACAAACTTGATAAAATTTTTTTATTTTAATTCTATAATTTAATTTAGGATAAATGTATAAGTCGCACCCTGATATGTGCTTATACATCGCATGTATATACAAATTATACATTGTCGACTTAAAAATAAAAAAAGAACTTAGACGTTTAGTTAGGATTAGAGTTAGATAGGGTTAGGGTATAAAGAAATCTTATAGTAAAAGTTCGCAAGAAATTTTTATTGTTATAGCGCGAAAGATAGTTTCATATTTGAAATTTTGAGTTATAAGCAACTTTTGACAAAACGAATGTTTGTTTTGAAATTTTCTGATCGTGCTACATTATACATAATCTTGAAATTTGATTGGTCAATCATTATAATGCGATATATAAGCACATCGCAGGGCTGCGATGCCTAATTAAGTCCTTTAATTTAATTTAAAACATACGTACGTACGTACAAGATGGATTACTTCAGTGTGTAACTGTAGATCGGCTATGTATCTGAAATTGATTGCATGAAGTGTAGCAGATTTTTCCCCGTTTTGGGAGACGTCTAAAGCGGAGGCACTCATATTTCTTAATAATGTTTTCGATTAACTTTAGGGTTAGGGTCATCCTATATTAGGGTTAGGATAGGTTTTAGGTAGTTAGATATAAGCGAAATTGCTTTCCCGACATTTTTGATTAACCTACCCGAGGCAGGTTTAGACTGCCGTTTTTTGTATTTTTTCGGGTTTTTGGTTTTTATTTTTTGGTTTGCTTCGCCGGCGATCATCAAAATTCTATAATTTGATTGGTGGTTAATCACATGATTTGCCTCCGCTCCGCTTTAGACGTCTCCCTGATTTGGAAAATACGCTAACTATTTATGCGGATTTGGATAGGATCTCCGTAATTTTGCATGCAAATTTGCAAATTTGCAAATTAACAAATTAGCATAGTTCGAAGTCGCAAATTTGCAGTATGCTAGGTAAAAAAGAGCATTTCGATTGCAACCGACTAAAGGTTAACACAATATAAAATTTAATTTTTTGGTATTTTAAGGCACTCTCTATATTGATTTATATGTTTACTCCCTCGATATTTACAATTTTTAAATTTTTTAATCGGATATTTACTGGGCGATAATCACTGATCATCAAAGACTATAGCGAAAACCAACAACGAAAGGATCTTTGATGAAATAAGGGTCATCTATCTATCTTCCCCAGTATCGCCAACAAAATTTTTACTGTCACGTGGTATTCGACAAAATTCTTTAAGTTCGTTTATGTTAGGTTTAAGGCCTATTTAGTGTTATAATTGTAGGTTTTAATAGTAAAATCGTTCAAGAAAACTTTTTATTAATGCTCAGAAGGTGGTTACCTATGCATATTTTGAGTTATAAGCGATTTTTGACAAACGAACATTTGTTTTAGTAAAGCTATACTACTTGATTTAATATTTCTGACCGTATAACATTACACCAAATTGATTGGTCTATCATCACGTGACAGTAAAAATTACATAGTAATTTTGTTGGCGATTAGATCGCTTTCAGTTGATTCTTCGGTTAACATCATCCCCCCAGTTGAAGTCTCCCCCCGAAAAATGAACAACCAATCAAAACCCTGGATAACTCTCGCCGATCACCTGATTTACATCAACCCCATATCTGTTCATTTTTATATGTTCGTTTAATTTTATTTCCTCCCCCCCAGGAGTCCTAGAAAGTGATGTTAACTGAAGAATCAACTTCGAACGGCCTTAGTGATACGAATGGCTCAGCTCAGCTCGGCTCACGGCTAACACTAATCAGTCAGAGCCGATCTTTTGGCTCAGCAAGCAGAGCTGAGCCGTTTACAAGCCGATCAACCTCAAACCGTTATTCTACGAGGCTTTTTCATAATTCCTCAACTTTATAATTTCTCAACTTTATGCAATTGAATTTATATAATAAATTTTTTACAAATAACCATCATTTATACTATAGAAGGCTCTTTACAGAAGAAGTTTGAAGTACTATTTATAGACAGTTTTTAAGTAGAAAATAGTTGTGTATAGTAAAACATACAGAAATTTTAGATAATTTTCTATATAATGAAATGCATATGGGCGGATTTGACGCATTTGCAGATCATTGAAATGTGATAAAATCGTAATTAGAGTTTGGAACCGGTTTTATTGTTCATATGATAAAATCGATTAAAACTGGTTTTAACATATGAAAAATAAAACCGGTTCTAAACTCTAATCGTAATTAATATAATTAGTATGTAGTACAAAAACAATCACATTTTGTTTATTACTACGTATATACTATGCAATCTTCGACATTATTTTATTGTAGTTTTTGCCCCAAAACTTATATTTATAAAGGCTCTTTAAGAGCTCATGAAATAAAAAAACATAAGGATAATAGATTACTACATAACCAATATCCTCTTTATATTCCTCTTTTTTCTGATTGTCAACAATTTTGTTCAACTTTTATAAACCTTATACAAAAACGTTTAACTTCACACCATTCTACTCAAGGCTTAAAAGTTATAGAATTTCCTTGTTCTAAAAACATTTTTACCTTTTATTTTCATAATGAAGAAACTTTTCGATATATACATTATCAAAGAAAGTATAATTGCATATTTCGAGGATTACAAGGCTATCAAAGAATTGCGAAGCTACTTGATTTTGAAGACTGGGGAAGAACAATTGATAAAACTGGTTCAGAAACTTGCGTAGTTTTTAGTAAGACAAATTTAAACAATTATGCAATTGAAGAAAAAGAGGTTGAATTTTGTTGGAAAGAAAAGGGAAATTTTTTTAAATATGGTGTTATTACTTTTATTTTTGAAATTAAAACTGAAACGATTGAAATTGTTGATGAATAATTATAGGTATGTAATTCTAAAACTATTGAATATATTAATATAATAAAGCTTAACAACATGTTTTTTTAATTTTATAGAAATTGAAGTTATCAGTTATCACTTTTATAACTTACAAAAATATTTTTTTTTCGTTTAAATTTTCATTATTTAATAAACATGTAAATAGTACAAAATATTTAATTATTAGTATACTAAGAAAGGATTAATTTTAAAAACTGATTTTCGTATTCATGTCTGTAAATATTAAATAATAAATAAATGCTTTACTTTTATTATAAATAACCAAGGCAGAATATTTTATTCAGGTTTATATCTATAGATTTTAAAACTGAATGAATTCACTATTTTATTCTTAATTTTATTCTATTCGTAACAATGCCTGAATAAATACCTAGTTCCATTTGTAACATATTTGAATGAATGCCTTGTCTATATGGTTATGCGAAATTCTTTTCATGATTGTTTATCATCATCAATTTTCGTATTGATACTTATTGATCTGAAAAATCATATTCTAATTCCAATTCAATATTTCATACCTTTTGACTGGGTATCTATTATTTTCCTAACAATATTTTTCTGACAAATAAAATCCCGACAAAAATCAACTGGAAACTAACATTAACCTAACCTAATGTAGGCTAACTTGTCAGGAAAATGATAGGATCCACTTTCGACTACCATATCCAAGATAATTTGTGATTTATATCTGAATGTCCCATATTCAATTTCTCAACTTCAATTTTATATTGTAGTAATATCAAGATGCGGCACATTTTCATCATGAATTATATCTGCAGGATTTTGATAACAAATGAATTCCTTATTTTATTCTTTGTTACTTCAATCCTATCTTCGCAATGACATACAACCAGTCCAACCAGATTCACTTCAACGGCATGACCTTTATTTGCTCAATTAGCATCATTTTTATTTGCAGATTTTTGTTTTTGGCTTCAATTTGATGATTGAAATAATGATAACGTAAAAATTTAGCGGTTCCATGACTTATTCAATAACTAATTTTTATCTAAAAATTAATAATTGCATTAATACAAAGTAGAAAAAATATATCTAAATTTTTGCGCCAAAGACTTACTTAATAATAAAAGGCTAATTTCCTTTACAAATTTGAGTTTTTGTGATTTCTTGTTTTTTTTCACTTTATATTTGCATGTTACTAATCCTATAATCAGATTGAATAAAAATCACGGGTTACCAAATTTTTGCGCCATTGCTCCAATTCAATCATTATATCCAAGATTGTGTCTATTTAAGTTTCTATTATTAGTATGTTTCAAAGACTACTCAAATGTTCTTCCATCCTTGGATGTGCCTGTGCTATTCTTATAGTTGCGGATTTTTGATGATAAATAAATATCTTATATAGATCACAGCTAACGCATCTCAGATGCAGCTTGTTAGATGAGGTGCGTAACCTATTGATCGGTCAAATAAGCACAAAAAAAAATTGTAAGTTTATGTATAGAAATTATTGAAAATCGAATGTGCTGAAAAAATTAGACTGAAAGAATATGCCGCGAAAATTTAGGCAAAAAAAACTATATATAGGGAGAAAAAAAGTATGTATTAATTGGAAATAGAATGTGCCGTGAAAATTCAAAGAAATTAAAAGAAAAGAACAGAGATACTGAAGATACTTAATGTAAAATAATGCTACTGTTGGTAGTAAAATACCAGAGATTCAAGAATATTATTGGAGGTAAGATGACGCTTTAAGAAAGATGCCAAAGTCTTTAATTCAATTTATTTTACTCTCTTATTTTTGTTAGATTGCAGGTTAGATGATAATCAATAGGTTACGCACCTCATCTAACAACCTGCTTCTGAGAATTATATTTTGTATCAGACACATCCTTAATAGATTAGATAGGTTGTGTCTGGTACAAATATAATTGAAACTCCATAGTGTTTTTTTTCTTGACAACACTCATGTTTCATATTTAATTATCAGAATCACAAGTGTCATTAGCAAGATATGCACATTGTTACATAATTGATTATTACCAAAATCAAAAACTTATCAAAGCAGCATTATGCAAGTTTTTACCAGGCCAGTTTATAGCTGTTTTTATAAATATTAGAAAATTTAATAAAAATTGACTGACTGAACATTTGCTGATTTGATAATTTTTAATTCAGATGTGATTACATCTGAATCAAAAGTTTATCATTGCGCAAATCTTATTGAATCAGCAAATATTTAGTTGGTTAATTTTTGCCAGATTTTCCAAAATTTATGAGAACAGCTGTAATGATTTTACTACTATTGGAATCTTAGGAATGTTCTTAACAATTTTTATTAGAAATCAAAGACCAGTTTACTTAGTAAAACATTGAGATCAGTTGTATAAATAATGATCTCAACCCTATATATCTCATAGATATCAATATATAATCCACTCCAAATAGGTGTATAAACCATTAATTTTAAATATATAACATTTTCATAAATCTTAAAAAGGTTACTAGTAGTTAATCAGTCAGTTAGTCAGTTTGTTAGTTAGTCAGTTGGTCGGTCATTACAGTTATTTTCATTATTTTTCAGACATCTGGTAAAAAATTAACCAAATGATTGTTTGACCAATTCATTAAGTTGTTGATTTTGGCATGATCAGTGTAAAGTTTATTATATACAGCTAAAGCCAGGTACATATGTATGTACTATATAAATTACTATATAACTTTAATGACTTTAAATGATCTCAATTTTTGTTTGTTAAATTTTCTTGCATTAAAGTTTTAAGATATTTTATATCATTCAGAATAGTTTTCTTACAAGTGGCAAAAGTCTTTCAACATATCCATTATTTGAAAACTTGATATAATGAAGATCTACTAATACTTAAGTGTTTAGCAATTATTCGAATTGATTATCTTTCTAAATTTTTTTTGATTATTTTTCAGTAAATATTTTATATTTGACTAGAGTTAGATCAATATTGGTTATCTGACCATTGTCAACTAAAATTATCACTGCTGCACTATTTGAAGTCCTGTAGCATTTTATGTTTCACTTATTTTAATTTACTAATCAATTTAAAATGTATGTAGTACCTGACTTTAGACTGTTTCTATATTAATAAATATTATACTAATTATACTAAAATCAATGACTTATTGAATCAGCAAACAATCATTCGGCCAATATTTAATCAGATATCCCAAAAATAATGAAAACAGCTGTAATGTCAGTTATAACCATGGTTGGTTAGTCTTTAAGCAATAACCAGCAGTTATTGACTGTGACTAACTATGACTGACCATTGTTATTTCTAATCAGAACTGATTAAACTGTAGGGATGCTAATAGTCCTGCCTGATCTAACCAGTCCAGTTCTAGTTTACTTTTAATAGTTCAAAATCTTAAAGAATTAACTAGTCACAGACTAGTTCTAGCCACTTTAGTCTTAAAATTAAAAGCAGTTTTTTTCAGTTTGCAAAGTTAAGTTTGGATGTCTTCTAATAAATAATACTATTATTATCACTCAGATTACTTTATTAAAACCTTATATATATGAAATAACATTATGGAAGTAGTGCGCTCGCTGCAAGGCACTCAAGTCATGTGATGAAAGCATAGAGAGTATCAAATACATAGTCGTGATGTGATATCAAAATAGAAAGATAAAGAAAACTTTTACAAAAAAATAAATTTAAGTTGGCAAATACAAAAATTATCACAATAATATGATGACCACACTTTAGTGTAGTAATCCTTTTCTCAAACAACTTATAGATGAATATATATTCATATAATTAATTGTAATTTAATGACTGGATAAATGTAAAATTCACTGCAGTAACAAGGTGCCCACACTTCAGTGTAGTGACCCATTATCTTCCAAACTCAACATTCATATAAATTATAACTAAGAACCAGGTAAATGCAAGATTTACCACAGTAGAAAAGTGCTTATGCTTTAGTGCAATGACTTTTTCTTAAATTAGTAATATATATTCGTATAAAGTTATTTGTAAAGTCATTGAGGAGAAGAGTAGAAACTAAATGATAAAACCAAATAATAATAATAATCAGGTAGTGAAAAAAACAAGCACTTCTGAACACCTCTTTTGCTATTACCTTAAATCCTTATTTCAATGATCTCTTATTCTTTTTCTTAAATTCTCATTTCAATCATTCTGTAATTACCAAATTCATGTAATTCTCATATTGTCACACAAGTTTTTGAACTGGTCAATCCTCACAATAATAACACTAACACTGATTATGTCAGCTCACATATCATTATTTTTACTCAGAATACTTTATTAAAACCTTATATATATAGAATAACATTATAAGAGACAAAAAGAGAATTGGAACTAAAAAATAGGGTTACTAATGATACTAAAGTATTTTGCAACACTGTCAAAAATGATCTAAGGTAGAGTGCTACAGATTGGGATAACCATCTCCCAATACTCATAATTTGTGATAACATTAGACTGGCTTTCATTGTATCTGTGGTGTTACTAATACGAAAGCTACAACCTGAATATCTCTCTTCTAATCTTGCATGAAGTGCTACCTTCCTAACTATTAAGTTTATCACATCTTCATCATAAGTTTCCTACCTATACTTACAAATAACCAATTGCTTCCTTTTACTTTTTGCCTAGCAGCTAAGTAATTAAACACTAATTTAACTCGGCAAAATAAATTTTCATTGCTTGGAACTTCCAATTTAAAGTTTTCTAAAGTTCTGGGAGCAGGTTCCCGAATTGACTTGGTAAAAAGCTTTTGATTGCAGGAAGAAGGTCTATTACTTCAGTTTTTTTGTTGAAGAAAGATAGGCTACCATAGTGCTGAAGGCCATACTAGAATTATTAGTTATTGTGGCCTTGCACTGCATACTTTATTCAAATATTTTGTGAAGAAGACCTAGGTAAGAGCAAACATAGTTGTTTTTATTTTCCTGATTTTGGGTGAAACAAGCTATGGCTTCTGTCTCTGAGCAATAAAATTGACTATTGAAG